AGCTGGTGGTAAATTACCACTGCCATGTTGGGAAGCTGAGGTGGGCAGAGCCAGCAGCCACAGCTGCTGCAGTTTAAAGCAATAGATTCACAATAAGACAGATTCAGATGTAATAGTTTACAATGTATGTAAAATATACATAGGCTTGAAAGAGACAAAAAAGGTGATATATACAGTTATAGAAACAAATACATAGTTTTAAAAAATAAAGTCTTTAAAGAGACAGTAAAATTAATATAAAAAATAAGCCACGTAAAGATGAATATTACACAGAGAATCTGGATTGTGTTGTCTTTGGGATTTTTAACTGCAGAAAAACATTTGATTGTAAAAGCTGTTGAGTTCTGCCAAAATGTATATTTTAAAGGTACCTTGAATTCAAAATTTGGATATAAGGATGTGTTGCTTTGGAAAGGAGACTCTGCTTTTGTTCCCACAGAAAGCCAAAGGCTATGGATTTGTTCCAGATTAAGATACATCAGGTTTGACCAGTCAAGACCCCCTGAAAGGTCTCCAATGGCACCATGGCCCAGATGATCCAACATCCAGAATGTTTTGAAGGCAACTGGCTCAGACGATATAGCCTCACGGACTACTCCATGATCCTAAAATTTTCTTTGTGTCCCCATAAGATACAGCGCCCCCCTCCAGCAGGAAGTAGTAAGAGAAGCTACGCCCAAATTCCCAAATTATATGTAATTTTACTTTGTTAAGGTTAAGACCTTCCTTTTTGAAAAAAAAAAAAGGGGGGGGGGAAGTGCTATGGGATGTTCTGTATGGCAAATGTGTTGCTGATTAGTCAATAAATAAAACACTGATTGGCCATTGGCTAGGCAGGAAGTGTAGGCGGGACAAGGAGGAGAATAAAGCTGGGAAGTGGAAGGCTGAGTCAGAGAGACACTGCCAGCCGCCACGATGACAAACAGCACGTGAAGATGCCGGTAAGCCACGAGCCATGTGGCAAGGTATAGATGAATGGAAATGGATTAATTTAAGCTGTAAGAAAAGTTAGCAAGAAGCCTGCCACGGCCATACAGTTTGTAACCAATATAAGTCTCTGTGTTTACTTGGTCGGGTCTGAGCGGCTGTGGGACTGGCAGGTGAGAGAGATTTGTCCTGACTGTGGGTCAGGCAGGAAAACTCTAGCTACAAGAAAGGTCAGTTGGTTGCTTTTTGGCTTCTCTGATCTAGCAGGTTTTTGCCCCAATATCTGATTCCCACGTCTTTATTGGTAAATAGAACTTAGATAAAAAACAACATTACAGCAGTAGTGGTGACCCCTTGTCACTGTTAGGCTTCAACCTTTCCTTTCTTGTTCATCTTCAAGATTACCTATTAATAACACCACAATATAGAAATATCTTACAAACTTAAAAATCCCCAATCTTTACAAATTCAAACACCTTAAAAATCTAGTCTCTTTTAAAACCTGAAATCTCTTTAAAAATTTAGTCTCACAACTGTGGCCTCTTGTAAAAAGAGTAAGTTAAATACACACTTCATGGGGGAAAAAAACCAAGGCACAGTCACAATCTAACCAAAGCAAAGCCAAACTCCAACGGTATACTTAACATCCAATGTCTGGGATTCACGCACGATCTTCTGGGCTCCTTCAAAGGGCTTCATCACTTCTCTGGCTCTGCCCTCTGCAGCACACATAGCTTGCCTCCTAGGCTCTGAGTGGCTCCATTCCACTGCTGCTGCTGTTCTTGGTGGTCATCCCATGGTACTGGCAGCTCCAAAATGCTGAGGTCTTCTGGTGCAACTGGACTGCAGTTTCGCCAATAGCCTCTCATAGGCTCTCTTTATGGTGTCAAGCCTCAACTTCTCAGCATGACCCCTCAGTCCTGGGTCTTCAATTGCCACCAAGGCTTCATCTTGACCAATGCCCTCTCCTGACCTCCAACAGTGCCAAGCCTCAGCTACTCTCCATGACTCCTTCATGCCTTCAAAAACAGCACCACTTGAGTGACTCTTAGACTCTCAAGTTCAGCTACCAGTTTGAGGTACAACCTTGGCCACCTCTGAAACACAGTTTCTGTATGCTGACTCTCAGGAAAACACTTCCCAGAAGATTTCACCTTAATAATGGTAGTCTTTTTTCTTTTCTTTTTAATTAATTAATTTTTATGTGCATTGGTGTTTTACCTGCCTGTATGTCTGTGTGAGGTGTAGAGACCCACAGAGGTTTCCTAGTGAGAATTCACTCAGGGTCTGAGAATCTGAGCTTGCTTTACCCATCAGGGCTTCATAAGGGGGTAATTTTGCCCATGGGCATGCTTACCAGGTGTTTGGAAGGGTCTGTACTTGGCTGTTCGATATGCTTTGATCTAGCAAGGGGGAGGTCTTTTGCCCTGCCCCTTAGCATTGTTATAAAAAGCCCTTTTGGAGAGACAGAAGGGGCCAGTGGATTTTGATTCAGGTCCTTCCGAAGCTATCCTGTGTTTCTGTCTGTCTCCTCTCCACTGTCTATCTAAAAGTTTCTTATTCTTCTCTCCTCCTCGTAGGAACCCTTTAAAAGGTGGGAGCTGGCCTCTCACACTGAGGATGTTCGATCTTGGAGTTACAGACAGTTGTTAGTTGTCATGTGGGTGCTGGTAGTTGAACCTGAGTCCTCTGGACAAGCAGTCAGTACTCTTAACTGATGAGCTATCTGTCAAGTCCCCTGCTGGTCCCTTTTTAATCCCTGCTAATTGCTCAGCTCCAGTCGACCAGCATCCAGTATCCCAGCAAAGCAAAGGTTTCACTTTTAATAGTTCTGGAATCTTGTTAGTCATAGCTGATTCTTCAGCCCCAGCTAAGTAGAACCATTCCAAACAACAAATGGCCCCGGATAGTCTTTAAACTTCTTTTGAAACTTCACAAGCTAGGCTTCCATCTTCTGCATTGCCCTCAACATTGTTATCTTCCAAGCTCCTACAAAACAGCTCACCAAGCATTAAACATTCAATGGCTTTTTCCCCCCACCAAGTTCCAAAGTTCTTCCATAATCTTTGCTGAAACAACATGGTCAGATCTGTCACAACAATATTCCACTTCTGGTATGGGGTTTCTATTGCTGCAATTTAACACCATGATCCAAAGGAAGATGGGGACGGAAGGGTTTATTTTGCTTACAGTTCTATACTGTAGTCCATCATTGAAGGAAGTCACATCAGGAACTTAAACAGAGAAGGAACCTGGAGGGGCAGGAGCTGATGCAGAGGCCATGGAAGAGTGCCAGTTATACTGACTTGTTCTTCATAGCTTGCTCATTCTGCTTTCTTACAGAACCCAGGACCACCAGCACAGGGATGGCACCACGCACAATGAACGGAGACCTCGTCTCACCAATCACTAATTAAGAAAATGCCCTACAGCTGGATCTTATGGAGGCATCTTCTCAATCGAAGTTTCCATCTTTCAGATAACTCTATAGTGTGTCAAGCCGACATAAAAGTAGACAGCACAAGTAGGAAAGGAAACTATGATATCGGGGTTGTGTTTGTGTGTGTGTGTGTGTGTGTGTGTGTGTGTGTGTGTGTGTGTGTGTGTGTTTCTATTTTTGCTGTTGTCAATGGGGTTGCTTTCTTGATCTCATTCTTAGCAAGTCCATTATTTGGTATCAAAAAACAGCTATTGATTTTTAAAATTTTATTCATTTATTTTTGAGACAAGATCGGTCTCTCTATATATGTACTTCAGTAGCCTACGCTGGTCTGAATTCACTATGTAACTTAGGCTGGCTTTGAACTCATGGCAATCCTCTTGTTTAACCACAGGAATGCTGGGATCACAAGCGTGTGTGATTTTTTTCTGTCTTTTCTTTTTTACATTTGTGTGTGTGAGAGGGCATGGCCCATGGTCCATTGGAGTTGGGAGCATATGAAGGTCAGACAACTTGCTGGAGTTGGTTTGACTCTTTTACCATAGGGGGTCCTGGGATAGAACTGGAATGCAGGTGGTCAGGCTTGGGCAGCAAGCACCTTCACCCACTCAGCCATCTTGCCCACCCAACCTTGATTTTTGTCTATTGGTTTTGTATCCTACCACTTCACAGGTTTGCCTACCTTTAACACTTTGACGTTCACAACTGAGATATTTCGCTTGCTTCTTTTCTATTAGTGTGACCTTTACTTCTTACCTTTTTTAGATTCAGGGACTTAAACAATACTACTTGAAACTCCAGAGTGCTGGGATTCTGCTCAGCACTACCTGTTGCTTACTTTCCTTGCCTGCTGCTCCATTTGAGGTTTCCCATAGTATGCTGAATAGGACAGGTGAAAATGGACACCTTTATCTTGCTCTTTACATTAGGGAAAAATTGCATACCTTCTTACAAGGCCTAACAAATGTCATCTCCTTCAAAATAAGCATTCGGCCATAAACTACCAAATGCGTAACCGGCAAATGTCCCCGTTTTGCAGTTGTTTGTATATATCATCTTTCGAATATATATATGTATATATCGATATGTATCATCTTTCGAGGATACCATTTTATCTATCATCCCGTCAATCACAGTGTTTAATAGTTCATTTATTCAGTAAGATGTCTGATGATTGATCCTTTTTAGCATTGAGTGGACTGTATTTGATAAAGTAGATGCTTATCAAAATTCTAAATAAAAAAAACCCTCCTAATTACACTTAGGATGATGGGGACACAGAGATCGACATTCACGAATTTTATGTCGACTCAGCATATCTAGAAAACAGAAGGGACACAAGAAGGCCGGAACCGAGGGGCATAGGGATTGGGGCTAAGCCGACTTGACCCAGCGGTTGCAAGGATACCGCCCTTCAGTGTCTTCTTTGGGGTCTCGCTCTCGGATCCGCGCCGGTGGCTCACACCTCCGCACCTGCCCGCACGGCCCTACGCCTCCTCTCCACGCTCCGTAGCGTCACTCACCCACGGAACTTCACTGGCGCCTAGAAGCCCACGGGCTCCCGCTGGCCTCGCCCCGCCCCGTCCCGCCCCGCCCGGGCCCCGGCCGAGGTCGAGAGAGGGCCAGGTGAGTAGGCCGCCGCCGCACTTCCGCCCAGGTGAGTAGGCCGCCGCCGCACTTCCGCCCAGGTGAGGGCAGCCGCCCTACTTCCGCCAGGTGTGGAGGCGGCGCCCGCGCAGCCCTGGGGCTTTCACAGCGCTGTCGCCTGACCAGGTAACGCTTGTGGCGCCCCGAGCGGGGGCCTCGCGGGAGCCGTGTCCCCAGCCCCGGGAGGGTGCTCTGGGCAGCTCGCAGGCCCCAAGGCGGCCTGCGGCCCGGCTAGTGTGTCCCGCGCCGAGGACTTCCAGGCCGCCGCCGCCGGGCCTGTGAGCTCAGCGCCCCGCGCGTGCTCGCGGATCTAGTGCCCGCGGCCTCTCGGAGCGGGGCGGAGCCTCCCCGCGGACCGTGGGAGGGAGGGAGGGAGCGGAGGGCCGAGCTGACCCCGGGTGGTCCTCGCGCCCCCCGGGCTTCTCTCTGAGTAGCTGGGGTGGTGGCTCTCAGCCTTTGGGAAAGTTACTGCAGTCCTGGCCGACATCAAGTTCTGGGAAACATTTCCAGATCTTCCCCACCTTTCGATTGCTCCTGCCCTCCCCCGAAAGCCGAATCTTCCCCTGGCGTGTTCACTTGCACTTTGTCTCCTGTGGGCTCTTATCACTTTGAGGATTGGAATTCCTGGTTGACTGGTTTGCCTCTGCCGTTCAGAGGCCACACCTTGTTGGGCCTGGTTGCTCTAGCTTGCCGCATCTCGCCTGCATCTGTCCTGTGGTCTCACCATCTGTTAGGGGTCCAACCATTGTGTCTTGGATGAAGAAGCCTACTGAGACCTAGAACAATCTCCGGTCCTTTGAGACTGTTAGACCGCATTCCAGGCGGACTTGCCTCACCCCGGCTTCGGATTCACCATTTCTAGGGAAAGCTAGGGAGAGGTGGGACAAACGGGAATCTGTTTATTTTGCGGAATTAGAAAATGGAAGGTCATGACCTTTTGCTGTTTATCGGGCCCTAACAGCCTTTATAAAGATGATTCAAAATTTAAGATATTTTGAAAGTTAATACAGACGTGGAAGATTTTTTTTTTTTTCACTGCTAGAATTTGTAAACTGCAAAGCGATTGCACCTATATTAGTTTAGATGCCATTACTGGTGGTATATAATGGACTTGTAATCGGAAGAATGATTTGATCTAAAGTTGAGTTGTCTGAAGTTGTCACTCGCATTGAATCTAGTCTTAATAATCTCCAGTTCTGGATCGTTACTGTTCCAGTGGTGAGGGGGTTGCAGCTAAGACCACACACATACTGAACAGGCGCTCCAACCCTAGAGTTCCGTCTGCAGCCGTTGTGCTTGTATGACGTTAACATAGATTCATTGTAGGGTAAGCGAGAATTTTCAGAAAGGGGACAAAACAGAAATAGACATGAAAACAGGAGGGAGACTGGCTGTGAAGAAGGTGGGAGAGGAGGAGAGAGGAGTAACGGGGTGGTTTGTGGGTGGAAATGACCAAAGTCCGTGGTATACATGCCTGAAATTGTTAGAGAATTAAAAGAGGAAAAACGGAGCTAGCAGCAACCAGAAACCCACTTCACTGTTGAGAAAAAGGCCGTAACTAACACGACTCTTTTCCTCTGTGTAGTCCTGACTGCCCTGAACAACTCTCTGTAGACCAGGCTGGCCTGGAACTCACAGAAACGCCCCTGCCTCTGCCTCCCGAGTGCTGGGATTAAAGGTGTGCGCCACCACGGCTGGGCTCATTTTGTATTTTTAAAGATAGAAATATCTGCGTTTTCTTGTAATGAATTCACTTTTAAAACTTTGGATTTTTGAGACAGTAGCCCAGCATTTCCCATTCCTTACAGTAGGGTTTAATAATTACTTTTATGTCAAACAGCCAAGCAGTCTGAGCTTGCTTGCTTTGTTAAAGTTTAACAAAAATGCATTAGTTTGGAAAGCCACAAAAGCGGTTAGTTTGCTGAAGCCTTTGCTCATCTCCGTAGGAGAGTTAAGTTCTGGTGAAAACAGGGCTATTCTCGCTTAATATTTGAGATCATACAACTATTGCTACTTTGTTTTCTTCTTACTCTGGGATTTCCATATAGATTGGGACGTCTTTTAGAGCCCCCAGTGCAGTTCTGTTGCAAATGGAAGGGAATTTAGTGCTGGCCAGTGCCTTGCTTTATTTGTATTATTGGTACTGAGGATGGAAACCCAGGGCCTTGCACATGCTGAGCGCTTACCAACAGATAATACATTTTTAGTGAGATGAATAGATAGAGCTGAGACCTAGTAGAGTCTAAAGATGAGCATTGGTCCCACTTAGGACTTTTGGCAAGTGATTTGTGCTGGTTCCCCATTGGGAAATGATCTGCCTCATTGAGAATTGGAGAGGTTGAAAGGAAACAGTTCTAGAATGTGTCTTGTGGCAGCAAGCTATTTTTCTCCCACTCTGGTCTCTGCTCAGATGCAATCAGGAGGAACTCAAGCCTGTAAGCATTCTTACCTGGATAGTCAGAGACTGAGCTGAGAAGCATACGTCTGCTAAAAACATTGCAAAGATCTTTCCGAAAAGGCCTAGGTTAATAGGTCAGGAATTTGTTGTGAAGACAGAAAACTGCTGGAACAAGTGAAATGGGGCTCTTTGGGACTGAGATTTATTATAAATGTGAAATGCACACTAGATTCTGAAGACAGTGTAAAAAATATTTTTACATGCATATTTAAATGATGCTTTGTATATATTGGATTAAGTAGAATGCATATTAAAGTTAATTTTGTCTTTTATATGATACTATCAAAACTTTAAGATTTATTATTTTTTTATTTTTTATTTTTTTGTTTTTTGAGACAGGATTTTTCTCTGTAGCCCTGGCTGTCCTGGAATTCACTCTGTTGACTAGACTGGCTGGCCTCTGCCTCCTCTGGGATTAAAGGTGTGTGCCACCATTGCCTGGCTATTTTTATTAATTTTAAAATTACATGTATGTGTGGTTATGTGGGGGCATGTTGTAAACCTTTCAACGTGCAAGCGAATGCAAGTGCCTGTGGAGGGAGGCCAGGTTAGTGCCCTGACATGGGTGCTAGGGACTGAATTTGGATCCTCTGTTAAGAACAGTGTACACACTTAACTGTTCAGCCATCTCTCTAGCCCTTGCTAGAAATTTTAAAATTACATTTGTGGCTTACATTCTATGGAAAGACACTAGATAAGGATTGCATATGTATTTACCCTTCAGGGGGAATGATGTATTGAGGCATTAACACTCCAATATAAATTGACTTCTGTTTGAGACAGTGTACTCAAACTCACCCTCCTCTTGCCTTTGGAATGCTGGGATTACAGACTTGAACCATCATGCTGGCTTTAAAGGCCTTAAACTGTCTTGGTGGTGTCGGGTGTTCAGAGGGACAATCAAAGAAATAGCATCACTCCAGAATGTAATTCAGGCTCTGAGGCAGCTAGGAGGAACAGTCTCCATGAACTGAACCTCAAACGGTCATGCAGAAGTTGTTTTATTCATTGATTGTTATGCAAAAGTTGTTTTTGGGGTAAAATAAGTTCCTCATACCAAAGCCCCTGATCTAATCTATGTTTATAGTGTACTGTTTGCAGTACCCAATAATGCAAGATGTTCCAGGTATGCCAGGATTGTCTTGTGACCAAAGTTAGGCGAAGAGTGTAATGCTTCTTCAGAAAAACAGCTCTATAAATCACAGAAAACAGTCACTGTTTTCTACAATGATTTCTCTAAGGTCTAAGTACCTCCAACAAACAACTAATACATTCTAATGTTGGCCCTAGATACAATGATGCTACTAATTTTTCTTCTACATGTTAGTTTATGCCTTTAATCCCAGCACTTGAGAGGCAGAGGCAGGAGGATCTCTGTGAGTTCCAGGATAGTCTGATATATATAGAAATTCTGGACCAACCAGAGCTACATAGTGAGACCCTTTCTCAAAACAAAACAAAACAAGATAAAACAAAACACCACCCAAAACAACAACAGCAAAAACCCCAAAGCAAAAATAAAACAAAACTTCAGTATATAGGCCTTTACTTGATCTTTTGTTTTGTATTAATTGCACTGATGAAAAGTTTTATTGTTCAATCTTCTCGGTATTGACTACATAGCAAAACCACAAATGACGTATTGACTTCTTTCAAATTCCAAAATGTCATGTAATTTGATTGAAAAGAGATGCTAACAACAATAGCCATTGTTTGTTGAGTGTGTGCCATGTGCTAGGCCAAATACTGTATTTTATTTAGTCCTCTCAACATTTAGATATTTAAAAAGATTCTTTAATGGGCCAGGCTGTGGTGGCACACGTACACATTTTATCCCAGTACTTGGGAGGCAGAGGTAGGTGGATCTCTCTGAGGTCAGCTACAGAGTGAGTTCCAGGACAGCCAGGACTACACAGAAAAACCCTGTCACCAAAAACCAACAAACAAACAAAAACAAGGCCGGGCGGTGGTGGCGCACGCCTTTAATCCCAGCACTCGGGAGGCAGAGCCAGGCAGGTCTCTGTGAGTTCGAGGCCAGCCTGGGCTACAAAGTGAGTTCCAGGACAGGCACCAAAAACTTCACAGAGAAACCCTGTCTTGAAAAACCAAAAAAAAAAAAAAAAAAAAAAAAAAAAAACCAAAAAAACCAAAACAAAAAAACAAAAAACAAACAAAAAATCCTATTCTGAATTCTTTTTATTCTCAAAAGGGAGATAAATGAATGCACTTGACCAATTCAATTTGAAATTTCTTATTTTTATTTATTTACCAAGAAAGTCTTGAGCATTTGATTGTTCCCTCCCCCATGAAGTTAATTAATTCTCCTCAGTGGCATCTATGCTTCCACCTTGTTTTCATGTTTTTTCAATAGCGTTGTACCCTTGTGTTTTAAGGATTTATGAAATACAGATAAGACTTTAAGAACATTAAACAATGTTATACAGAATGGCTTTCCATTGTACAGAATAGATGCTAAAATAGTTAACTTAGCAGACAAATACATTCTCTCTGCCCGCCCCCTCCCCCTTTCTTTTCTAGAAAGAGATTGAGATAGGGTCTTCCTCTGTAGCCCAGGCTGACTGGAACTCACTCTGTGATCTAGGTTAGCCTGAATCTATCAGCAAATCTTCCACATCAACCTACAAATATTTGAACCACAGGTTCAAGC